CACACCCCCACACCCACACCCACACCCACACCCACACCCTTTATTGAAAAAGAAAGAAACACAGTAGAGAAAACTAAGGTAAATTGTTCTTGTTGAGATAGACTGCTCGAATCTTCCTGCAGCTGTATTTGAAGATGTCACCATTTGCCTCCGCATGTTGTAAACCGTGCTCGCAAGGATCAGCCTGAAATATATAAAATTCAGCAGCAGTATTGCCGTAAATGTGTAACGTGATACCTGCACATTTGTTTCGACTATTATTGACTTCTTGTTTTTCGATGCAGAGATGGTCTTCTGATAAGCAGCCGATTGTATCGCATAGATGTGATGCTGAATAGAAATATAACTGTACGTTACAATATCAAGAGAAAAAAAAGTGAACTCACCTTGAAAATGATTTTTCTTAGCTGAGAGCAGCGGAAGCTGGCGACGTAAGCGACCTAAAACAGAACGAAGAATAATATGATGGGAAAATATCTTTAATGAGTCGATATTTTTTGAAGCGCAAAATTTGTTGAACCGCTTTTGAACTGATTTGGGCCAGGAGTGGCCATTTGAATACAAAGTAACTGGCGGGTGTTGAAGTGGTGGTTCGTTGAGATGATCTTGTTCAATTTTGCATTTCATCCAATTTGCAAAGAAAGCACCTAAAAGAACAGTTATAATTTAGGTTATTGAGTCATAATATTACTGACCGTTTAATGATCGAATACTTTTCATTGTTGCAAGTTGATCCAGATCGAGGGATGAGTCGACGTGTCGAGGATTGACTAAATCGAGATGACGACCAGGTGAGAGTAAAGCTGCTTGAAAATCATTTATTTCATGAGGTTTGAGAGAATTAAGAAATAGTTGTCGTTTTGTTGTTGAAGATGCCATGAGAAGTTATTGAATGTTATTTAAGTGGATACTGGTATATATACTGGACGTTACGAGTTGACGGTGTATATATAGACATTGAATGAATGGAGTGTCATGTTTTGTGAATGATGAAAATTCGTGACTAATGATTTTTCTCAAAGAGATAAACTAATTTACCGTAGAAGGGAAGTGATCAATAGCCAATTAAGATTAGTGGTGTGTGTCACTGAAATAGAACAGTCAAGTGATAATTCAGAACATTCAATAAACGTGATAGTCGTTATCAACATTCAAGCGAACATATTCAATATTTTCTTGGTGATTCTTTGTTTTTTCTTGTATATTTGTTTTTTTTTTGGTTATTCATTTATTCTTTTGTTTTTTTGGTGTATTTTTGTTCTTTTCTTCTTGTTTTCTGTGATTTATTTATTCTTTGTTTTTTTTGGTGTACTTTTGTTCTTTTCTTGTTTTTTTCTGGGATTTATTTATTCTTTGTTTTTGTTGTGTATATTTATTCTTTCGTCGTTCTTTTTGTTGCGCATATTAGTTTACCGATTAAGTTTTGATTAGTATTGATATTTTAAAAAAAACAGAATTTAGTCAAGAGAGTATTCAATTTTTGATTGAATGTGAAAATTTTACAAAATGAAAAAATCAAGATGAGGCTTTTTTTTAATTTAAATTCTAGAATAAAAAGTCTTTATTTATAGATTCGTAATAAAGCTAACTCATTTTGGCTAACATATTAACATGATACAGAAGATGGTTCATGCCGAATAAATATTGACAATCGAACATGAGAAGAATGTAAATAATTACTATCTGAAGAATCCAAGTATTAACATATTCGATAAAGGTCATTTTCGCTGCCTCTTCTCATTTATATGACCATTGCATGGCATTATAGAAAGTATCGATCATATTTTTCAGAGGACATTGGGCTATAGTAGGCATATGTATGCTGAAAATTTCAGTTTGATTCAATCAGATTATATACGAAAATAGATCTTTTCTTTCAAAGATTTTATAAGCTAACTATTGTAATCGATTGTCTGACCCTTAGATTTTCTATAAATTTGTGCCTCCTGCTACGTTTCGCTGTCATCTGATGAAAACTATAAATTGCTAGCAGTTTGAATTCTCGATTAGCTCAATTTTTAAGCGAATAGCTTTAAGTCTGGCGTCGATATTAATTTAAAGGACAGATTTATCATACATCTATGTTTTATATCGACGTAAATAATTTCTATATGATAATTAATGCTAAAACAGTTGTCCAGAAATTAATTCTGTTCTTCTCTCAAAATAAATTTAATGAACAAGAAAAATTTTGTTGAATTTTACTAATAGAATGAAACGATTATTCACCGGACAACTAATTTGCAAATTGTTTTTCTAGTGACATTATATTAAACTTCCCATTACAATAAGTTCATCAGTAATAATTGAAACATTAGTAACACCTACAGTTCATTATAATATAGAATTTTTTGATAATACAATGACTGAAAAGAAAAAAATAAAAACTGAAAAGAATGTTACTTCAACTAGAAATATAACTCAATCAATGACAGCAGTTGTTGAGCAAACAAAAATTGAAGAAAAAAAATAAACATCAAAACCGAAATCATATCGAGATGCAGTTGATTAAAAATAAAAATTTCCAGCTAGTTTCTTATTGGTCTTTCCTTTTTTGCGTACTGAAAGATTTCATAGTTATAGAGTTTCATGTCTACTAGAATTAATTAGATAAATTAATGATATTTGTCTTGAGGACTTTTAATAGTTATATTGAATACATTGAAATATTTTACTTCACATTATCTTATTAATTTTGCATTTTTTAAAACCTTATTTTAGATTTTATTCATCATAACTATTACCGCACCCAAAAAAAACAATGTAGAGGAAAGAAATAGAATTATTTAATGTTTGTTTATTAGAGCAAAACATCATTTAAAACATCAATGTACTATAAAAATAAAAAATAAATATAAAATAAAGAAATTAGATGAACCAGGTTTGTCATAAGCTTTTTACTCAAAAGTTCTTTTTAATTATAAAACATTTTTAATTAGTTGATGTTTTTCAATAGCATCTTGGTAGTAGAGCCCGTCAGGTCAGTCCCAGACCCAATCCAATGAGTCATACTCTAAAATTAGCAGTCAATTATGACTTAATTATTATAATATCATCATCAAGATTACGTGAGAAATATTTAGGATGTGTTAGTCATAGAATACAAATAACCAATAAAAAGTATCTTGCATCTTCGGAGCAGCTATCAGATTTAGACTAAAATATTTCATTGAAATTATTTTGAAGCCTATGGACTCCATCAGAAGACCTTATTTAATATTAATTATATTGGTATTTAACATATTCCGTTGAAAAGCTTTCAATGTAGAATAAAAATTATCGAGCTGATGCTTTCGACCTTTGGATTTAGTGAAAACTGAAGAACGAATGAGGTTTTTTCATTACCAATTGAGACTTGGAACTACGTAGAGATAAATGGAAAAATATATTCAGCTTTTTTTTAATTTTAGAAGTTACTGAAAACAATTTCGTGTGGGATAAGGAGGTTTATAGATTTCATCAATCTTTTCGAAATAGAAATCTCGGGTTCGATGCGGAAAATTATGATGCGTTCGAGATTTTCATAAAGTCTCATATTTTATAGATGATTGATTAAATCAATGTAGCAGTTCTTTTTATGACAATATTTTTTCTAGATATATGTTCAACAAATAGTAGTTGTGCAATATCAATTGGTTTAAATATTAGTTCTTGTACAATAGGAACAACATCTCAATCGTCTGTTCAATCATCATCACCAAATCCATTACAAACTTCAATTGAAAAATAAGATGATGAAGATGAACAACGTCAACGATATATTCCAACACCATCTCAGTAAAATTTTATATTCATTTATTAATTTCAATCAATTTTTTCCTTTTTAGATTTTGTCAAGATGATGGTTCTTATTTAATATCATGTTCATGTTCATCATCATTAGTCGATGTTAAATCACTTGATAATGAATTAGGAAGAATATCATAGCAAAATTATAAGGCGGATGTGGGTGTGGGGGTAGGGTGGGCGTAGCTGGAAGAAGCGCCAACGGATCCATAGCCACACCCAACAGTCTCAAACTCGAATACTTTGTTAAATAATGACAAATGTTATATAAATATTATGGAAACTTTCTTCAGAACGTTTACTAGCCTGATATCGCTTAAAAAGTTTAATAATTATCTAGTCTCGAACGATAACTCAGTGTTTTGCAATTCTCTCTTTTGAACTAAAGAAACAACTATTTAAGAGAGGCTCCATAGAACCATCACCCAAAAAACAGTAGGACCCGGTTGCCGAAAAATTTTAGTTTTTGAAATGAGTTTGCTAGTTTGAAAGGGCATAAAACGCTACTTAGAAAATCCGAATTTTGACAACTGTTGGACAATGTCTTCTAATACTTCGACCACCTAATAGTTTTCACTCAAAATATCGGTTTGTCGAAGATTATGGCTTTTTTGATCATTTTTGTTTATGAATTTTTTCACTACAAAAATTTGACTAAAAACATTGTCAAATTATACCAATCGATAGAGTGAAAGCTGCTCTACAAAGCCCTATGTTTCATATACTTTGTTATTTACCTCGTAAACCGAAATAGTACATCAGAATAGGTGAAACCGAACATTTTTTTTTATCTATTGTGATACACCAACAGTTGAGCTCCCAACAGTTGAGCTCCGACAAATGAGCCCCCGACAGTTGAGCCCACCGACAATTGAGCTCCCGACAGTTGAGCTCCCGACACTTGAGCCTCACATTGAAAAAATTTTAAACAATACAGAAAATTAATTTATTTGAATAAATTCAAATTCACATCAATAATTGAAGATAGCTCTGTCTCCTTTGAAGTACAAGTTTCTTATTATCAAACGAAAAACAGGCTATTTTTTGTAATTGCTTCTTCAAAAGTCAAAATATTGCATGTTTCTTTAGTTTTACAAGTTTCGCTTGCAATTATTCGACCAATATCCAGGTCGCATACTGTGTCGCTTTGAAATATGTAATAGATTCACAAGTTGATGAATTTGTGGTGTTGGATTCGGGACAAAGATGGATTAGTTATTGTATCGATGAAAACACATAAGCAATTAATAGTAGTTTAATATCTCAGCGCTAGCACTCAGACGGATGTAAGTGTGAATTAAGAGAAAAGAAAAACCTACATCTGTACCCAAAACTAAAGAAATCTACAAAACATTAACTTTTGAAGAAGCAATTACAAAAAATAGCCTGTTTTTCGTTTGATAATAAGAAACTTGTACTTCAAAGGAGACAGAGCTATCTTCAATTATTGATGTGAATTTGAATTTATTCAAATAAATTAATTTTCTGTATTGTTTAAAATTTTTTCAATGTGAGGCTCAAGTGTCGGGAGCTCAACTGTCGGGGCTCAACTGTCGGGAGCTCAACTGCCGAGTCACCGTCTATTGTACATACTGTGTTTTATTTTTCTTGCTTCTGTCGTGCAGCTAATTTGTAAGAGCCTAAAGTAAATTTTATATATATTTGTAGAGCTTCAAAAGACGAATTTTTTTTGTAAAAAAAAATGTTGGATATAAAGTACTAGCGCAACTTCCCGAAAAGCCCACGACAATGACGCTCAAAATACATCATTTTTTGGTATTTTCATGAAAATCTATAAGAGAGTGTACAGGAAATACATATCTCAATGAAATCAATCGAACGAATTTACAAATTTTGGATTCAGCAACTGTTTTGAAACTTTTATTTGGTCGAACTGATCTAACAAAATGCACCAGTATTTCGTATGAATACAAAGAAGAAGTGCGTACAGCTATCGCAAGACAAGAAGTAATTCTATCTGCTGGTGTATTTAATACATCAAAACTTTTGCAATTGTCTGGTATTGGTCCTGAAACATGGCTGGAACTATTACGTATCAATGTCATAGCAAATAATGCAGAAGTAGGAAGAAATTTTATGGATCAAATGGCAATTTATATAACTTTGAAACTATTAAGCAAGTGCCTACATTACCATGAGGCGCTGATACGTGTGGATAGTTGTAAAATAGTGGATTAAAGACTAGTAAGAAGAACTGGATAGATTTACAAATCTATTGTTATTCAAGATTTTCTACATTAACATTAAACTTCCCAATAGTCGGTTATGATCTGATTGTTGCTTATTCACAACCATCAATTTCATTCGTAACATCTCTTGTATTCAATACTCGACCTGAAGCTTAGGGAACGATTAAAATTCAAATTTATTTCCATATAATCGACTACAAACCCATCATAGTTGGTATAACTTGTCAGAATATGATCAAAATAATCTACACTACGGTTGTCGATTTCGTTCGCGATATGACTCGACATATACTAATTGGAGTAAACGATATGTCAAAAAACGAACTTTTTTCTGGAAATCGATATGGTAAATCCGATGGTCTATGCCGTCGATTGAATATGTGCAGTGTTTACCATCAAATAGGAACATGTGCATTGGGTAAATGTATAGATAATGAAGCGCGCGTAATGGCAATAAAATATGTTTGTATATGTGATACTAGTCTATTTCCGACACAACTAAATGTGAATCTAACATTTCCACTCTATAGTATGCGTGAAAAGATAGCAGATCTTGTCAAGAAATCACACTCGGATGATAAACGAAACATCGGCAATATTCATAACTAGAAAGAAGTTTATTTGATAATTTTAATGATTTTTCTTTATTTATTCATTGAAATCGAAAAACTAACAACAATATAAATCTATATATGAGTTTATATTCGATATTTTTTATTATGAGTGAATTATTTCGAACAATAAAAATCCTTCGAAATTCTCTACGAATGTTTCATGTCATCAGTTGAAAATTTTTTATTATCATATACTAACAAAGATTTTTAATGCGGATTTCACTCTTGAAAAGAAATCACAATAAGACAAATTGTGGCATAAGAAAATACAGATTTGAATTTGCGAGGATATGAGATGGGTGTAGGTGAAGATTTTCTCTTCACCCGTACCATCTACTAAAAAAAGTTTCCAGACAAATCTGCTATGGATATACTACTACAACGGAATTAGCTTAAATATCATGATTTTCTCATATTCAATATTTCACAGAAATTTTCTTTGCTATAACAAATCTAATTATATCATTGATTTGTATTTGGAAAATAAGAATGGAAACTCTGGAACAAGTTTCTAAGTGAGCGTGGATAATATTTTACTAGAATCTTATTTGAATAAGGATGTTGAAAGCTTTGCTGAAAATTTTAAAAAAGTGACCTTGTAAAAAATGTGAGTAGATGAAAGAATAATTCTCAACAAGTGAATATTTGTCGACAACATTATAAAAAGCCATACCATCGATACATATCGATTGTAGATCTATAGAAAAAAGAATTTCGTGAAATATTTTTTTTTATGAATTCTTGGCCAATTATGATTTCTACATGAATTTTTTTTTATAAATAATTTATTCTATAATGATGAAATAGATAAATATAAGAAATGAATTTATCTATACCAATAAAAGTTTGGCAATTCTTTGCAACGAATTACTTTTCATTTCGATGTTAATCGAATTCGAAAAAAAAAATTTATAATGAAATATAAAATAAATTTGTTGCTGCTACAGAATTTTTTGATTATTTCTCATAGATTCTTTTTTTCGAATATTTAACTAATTGTTAATTGAGTAGTTCTATAAACGAATAATTAAATTCCCGAGCACTGATAACCTGCAGTTGCAAGTGGTATACTTGGATTATGACAAGAAGGTTGTTCATTAAAAAGCAATGAATAAATATTTCATAGTTTTAAAGAGACAAAACCTGCAAAACGACCAAATCCACTGATTGTACTAATTATATGTTGTTCACATAAACTAAAAAGAAAATTATCAAATATTCCTAATTAAAAAGCTAATATTCGATCATTAGTATATGATATATGAGAAACTGGATTGGAATTTGCTAAAATATTTAAATTACTATTATTCGATTGACATTTATTTTCCACTGATTGAAAACATTCGAATGAGAATTTCCAACGTTTTAAAGCAGCTTGGCGTATTTCAATATCATCAGACAAAAAAAAATAATTGGAATTTAATTTGTTTCATGATATCATTTCTTATTTATATTAATTATTTGTTGAGAACATGTAAAAAAATTTTCAACTTCTTTAAGAATTGTTGTTTCATTGGAAGAAACCTGTGTCGAAATCATTGTTTGATCTTCGACACGAACTTGAAATCCAATTGGAAAAAAAATTGGTGATAAAAGTATCATTCAAATAATACGCCATCAATTTTAACTGACGTGTACATGCATTTTATTATCACATGCAAGAAAATTCTCGAATGATCAAAAAAAAAAACATGTGGCAACCATGCATGAACGCCTAATAATCTTTTCCAGAAATAAGATTCGAACATATATATGTACTTACGTTAGAAGTGCAATCAATACTGAATGATACTATGCTGATCTCATAGCTATGAGGTACGAATGTACATGAATGCTAATAACTGGTCAAAAAACGTTAAAAAGTAAATAAAACTTCTGAGTCAATTTAATTTAGTTACACAGAAGAGAGATGCTAAGTCCGTAAATACATTGTTGTGTATTAGTTTATTTATCATGTTATCGAATCACGTTCAGATCGATTTTAGATCTTATTAGATTTTTAGTTAGATAGATCGATTAATCCTTTAACTCTACCATCCATTTCCACATAGAATAACCGATACATATATATTACATAATAGGAGAAACTGGGAATATACCCACAGATAATATAATACAGCTGGAAAAATTCATGAGTTATTACATTAAAGAGAAATAGAAAAGTAAAGAAAGAAAACAAGAGAACACAAAACGAAAAAAAAAGATATAGCTGTAGTTGATAACATATGTATCTGTTCCGGTCAGAATTGGAATTCGGTCAAATTCTAAATTTGTCCAGACAAAATTAGAATATTATTTTGATAAACTGTAAAACTAAGAAAAAAAAGAACAATAAGAACACAAATGGGGTCGCGAATGATGTAGAGGACGAGGAAGCAGAGGGGCAAATATCGGGGATAGAATTTTTCACTTATCCCTCCAAAGTTTCCGCTCCCGTATGCAAGAAGTACCGTCCCAATTGGAAAATTTTCCTATCCCTCCTAATGTTTGGATCCTAGTTGCGCCCCCGCAAGTGGAGGTCTGACATGAATGACAGATGATAACGCATTCGATTGGCACTACTTATCTGATTGCTCATATCTTCTCCATCGGCACACATCGGTAAAATGCCATTAGTTATAGTCATAGGAATGCACTTGTGCTCCGAAAGGCATCGAAAGCGATAGTCGATATCGGGCAACTTGCAACTATTTGTGATTTGTTCGTCATCTTGAAAATAATCGGAAAAACCATGAAGAAGTCTATTCAAGGCAATACATTTCGATGAATTTGCACATCGATATGGTTTTGACTTTGGACACTTAACAAAACCAGTCTTTGTGTTCGAACATTTGAGAAAAAAGAGCAATATGCGATTCTCGATGGTATTCGAATGTACCAATGCTTCACCTATGTCCAGTTCAGAGAAACGTCGACAAGTTGAGCCATTTATGATTACAGTAGCCGGAAGCCATTGGCAGAGTACTTGATCGTAACATACATAATGAGGTAAAAGACGATCAAACTCATATTCATTTGGTAGATTATTCCCATAGACAAAGCGAACATGATCCAATACTATCGGGTAAGCAGGAAAGAAAACAATTGGCGAACAGTTTTCTCGAAATATTTTTTCATGCTCAAGTTGCTCTGCATATTTGACTTGATTGAAGAGACTTGTCGAAGCAAAACTTGAAAATGCCAAACAAATCAAACTTGTCCAACAATTACACGATAAATTAGGATTTTCATTTCGAGATTATTGAACTTCACGATGATTGTGGTATTTATTCATACTACATTGGCCATCACCACACGATAGCATACGTTCATTTCGACATGTTGTCTCTTCACAGGAGAACATCGGATTATTGTAACAGTCCGATTTACCATTCTCGTGAGTTTCCCGATAGTCATACTTTTCATCCAAACGATCGATGCAATCTGGACTCAAGGGGTTATCATTGAAAAATTCTTTCGAAATGCAAAATCCATTGCTACAACGGAATTCATCCTCTTTACATTTCATTTAAGTCTAACTTCTCACAACCAATTTCATCTTGACCATCATTCAAACAGTCAATCTTTCCACCGCATATTTCACGCCAGTCGAGACAAGATGGTGATGGACCCCGATTACATTCTATGAATGTATAACATGTTTCGGCCGTAAATATATTAACGATTTCTGGCTTAACAGAAGAGAAATAATTCCATACAATCTTATCGAATGACCCTGTCAAATTAAAGGAATATTGACAATATTCACCAAACTATGGTTTTGAACAATTGCTAAATACTTGTGTTGATAAAGATGAATGTGAACTTTCGAGAAATGCTTGATATTGTTCAACAACATCAATTGGTGCAGATAATAAATATAATTGTTGACTTGTTATATTTTCTCTTCGTAATGTTTCGAATGTAATTGATGTTCCATGAATGACATGTTTTTCGTTATTGACCAATAGATTGGATGATAAACCAAAGAACCGTATACAGTAAGGAACTATTTGATATGGATAAGGTATTTTGCGTTCAGGATCCATAGTATTTTGAATTACAGAAAATTCATTATATAACAAACAGTCATGATACAATGAATTGTTACTTACGTGATCTGTATGATAGAGATGAAAGTTAAGCTTCGTTATTAATACTTGCAAAATGAACAAGTACAGAAATAAAAGCCAGTAGAATATCCTACTTAGCATTATATTAGACACGTGTGGATTTAATTCGAATCACACTGGAATCGTTATTTGTTCTCGAACTCTCTATATAGTCGCGTATGATGTATAGGTGTATAAGTAAAACTGCATTCTAATGTTATAGTCAGGTATTTGACGTCGATCATTAATCAGAAGCATGTAAAATTATAATGCTGTCAGTATGCAATAGCGATCTATCATAATTTTGATGATGACGCAGATACACGCTATTAATCATTTAATAAAAACAAAAAAAAAACACGTAGCTTTATTTTTCTTTCATTCTATATTGAACGTTTAAAATCTAGGAGAAAAAAATCACATATTTTTGTCTTACATGGAAGAGATAACCGATCAACGGAAAAAAAAACTTCCTATCATAGCCGTCAATCTTACTATAATGTCGAATTCGATGAATTGACAAAAGTCACCTCCCTAGTAATTGACATTTTCTGTAGAATTGTGTTTTTTTCGCATTATTCATATATATTGTGTTCTTTTCAATTGATTCGTGCATAGTATCAGCGTAATAAAAGCATTAAACAACAGATGTTTCGAGTTGTTCACAAGTGAATCGATTTTTATTTCATGACAAACTTTTGAGTAGTTCTATTTCATAGGTTAGCTTTGGAATAATTGTGTGAGCCATCCATCTGTAAAGTTTGATATTCTAAGACTAGAAATTTTCATATCACTGTTTTTCTGCTGGCTTTGTTTGCTGATTATTCAATATGGTTTCTTTGGTGTATTTGAAACACTGTATGTGTTTGTGAATGATAGATGAAAGCATGCAAAATGACAATGAAACTAACTATTTTATTTCGATAATGTACACGTATTATTTATAAAACTGAACATTTTTTTGCACTATACAAATTCCATTAGGGGCAATAAATGAACCTTATCCCAATAAGAGACTGGTGTGGTTTTTGTACATTTAAACACGTCTGTCAAGTTCTACGATACTAAAAGAAGTTTTCAACGCACTCATCATAACCTATCTTGTTTTGGAAGGATTTTTGTCATCGCTAGCGACCGAACAATCAAATTTTGAACTAATATTTAGAACCATCTTTGATTAGATCCTATTAACAGAATTTCTGAAATGCAAAATGTCTGTTCTACCATTTACTATTGCATGAATAGAGTCAAATCGACGATTGTCAGAATAAATCTGGTTCGTACAAATACAAATTTAAAGCAAGGAAGAAAACCAAGAAGAGAACCAGACAGATGAAGATTGAGAACATACAACAAAACAGACAAGAACTAATATCATTAACAGAAAAATGAAGGCGTAATGCCTAGAATGATAGAAAATATTGTGCTCTTCCATGATTGCGACGAGACAACAGTTTTTGTCACACATAATTTGATTAAGAGATATGAATATCATTTCTCATTTCTGATGATCAAATTCTTCTTCGGAATAGTGTTACTTGCAACTTGTGTACGGATGTCAATTTATGTTTACTTTCCATTTGATTTATGTGTAAATTAAATTATTCTACTTTGTTTAGAACTTTATGTATGGCATATCTCCTATTTTTAACATGATATTCATGAAAGTATAAATAAAGTGTTTGTTATATAATATTACTTTGCATGTAACAGGTTTTAATCTGCTGAAAGTTCCCAGTCTGCATCAAAATCAGCTTTTCAAAAAAAATTAAAAGCCTATTTTATGCTATAACACAATGGAACATGCATGAAACATTCATTTCTGAGTGTATAAGATTTTTCATGAAATAGACAATTTTCAAGAATCATCAGTACTTTTTAACCTAATGCTAACAGTTACTTATGGTTGGAGAAATTCTTATTTTCAAATGCGATGAAGTTCTCTTCCTTTTTTTTATTAGCTAACCTATTTGCGCTAATATTTGAGTGTTTTGCAGATACAATGAATATCTTGGAATTGACGACAATCCAATTTTTTACACTGGAGAAGAACTACAGTTCCTTCAATATTATCAAATTTTTTTGTCTCTTCATAATTACGAAACACCAAGGAGAAAAGCTGATTTTTTGATTGCCGTTGATGCCGGCACGTTCTTTCGCTGCCATCCAACAGACTAATGTCTTTTCTCATATTACTGAAGGTCTTCATTCTCAAAAAGTTCTGCAATCATATTTATTGCTTGAAAATTGGTCGTGTTTAAGGCCCTTCATCCCTCAGAAAAAGTCAATTTTCGTCACAAAAATGAGAATTAACATCAATGCATGAATGGATAGGCCGAGATTTACTCTTTGATAAATGCCATGATTTTTTATTCATTAACTCCTTTTCCGTCAAAATCTCTGACGATTTCTGCTGTCATCTGCGTGAAACATATGGTATTTTCAGAAAAAGTGCCAAATGTTTGTCCTTTTTCTGATCCCACATCCCAGATTTCTCTGTCGACCTTCATTCTTACACATTTCTTTTGCTTGAAAGAACATGTGAAGCTGCAGCGTCTATCAGAACTAGGTTGTTTTATATAAGCTTTGTTACTATTATATAAAAGAGCACTATTATAATTGCCGCGTCGTTTTTTGCGAGTTTTTCGAGTCACGGAATTTGTCATCCTTTTTTTTGTCCACTTGGAAATTAAGAATTTAAAACAAAAGATTCTGGTAGGCACTGCTGTCTAGCACGTTCTTTCAAACAAAAAAGGAAATAAAATATATAGCATGAATGCTGATAGAGAATTTCGAGTTACCAAATAACCTATTTTTGACCATTTTTTGGTGAATATCTCTTTCAAACGTCATGGTATAGGCTGAGAATTTCATGCAATTTGAATACATCTGGCTTGAGATAGATTTTTGAGGATGGAGAGGGTCTTAAAACAAAACTGTCTCTAACAAAAACTTCGCAATGAACGATGTCTTTCACAAGAGAAACGAAAAGTTATTGAAACTTCAACTATACTCTTCCTGGGGTGTGAGTGTGGGCGTAGACTAGAAAAGACACCCACACCCACACCCCACACCCACACCCCACACCCACACCCCACACCCACACCCCACACCCTCCATGGAATGAATCTGCTACTGGGTCACCAGTCGCAATCGTAATAACTCAGACCTATTCATGGACATATTCACTGATTACATGTACAACGGCCGATATTGCTACCAACCAATTAATTCCTATTGGCGGATATACTCATCTACTAACTGACACACTCGATTGCATAAGTAATTGCAATACTGGTGCAACTGGTTATGTTCCTCCTGATGTCAGACCACGGTGTACAGACATTTCAGCACCGATAGGTACTACTGTTGGGCAGCGTTCTGATATTGTCTATTTGTCAGCTGGCGATGATTTTACTGCTGCTTTTCAAAAAAGTGCCTGGCGTCCTCTAGAAACATCTTCAGGTGCTTCGTGGTCAATCGCAACGCACATCAAAGTCAACACAAGATCTGATAATGGTCTGTACAACAATGCTCCTGTGGCGACAATGATGTCTCCGATCGAAATCCCTGTCAACCGTCCCACAGCTATTACTATACCTGTGGGCGACGCGGACGGTGATACGACACGTTGCCGATGGTCGACATCATCATATGGTATTGATGAATGTGGTGGTGTATGTCCACCTAGTTCACTACCGCCGAATGCTATCATCTACTCGAACTGTACCATGATCATTACTGGTCAGACAGTTGGCGACTGGTTTGCTGTGGCAATCATGGTGAATCTATGTATAATTTTTTTTCTGTTGCTCATAAATACATCTTATCTTTAGATTGAAGATTTCATCACTCCAACGAGCACCACTCCTCTTAGTGGAGTACCTGTACAATTCCTCGTTCATGTTGTTAATCCAGCATCGTGTACTACTGAGCCGGTCATTGTTGGAATACCGTTCGAAGACTCCTGTATACCTGTAACAGTCGGTCAAACATTCAACTCGATGTTGATTGCGATTAACTATTGCGGTGCAACTGTAACTATTGACGATATTTCGACATTATCATTTGCTGGCATGATAAAAGGAGATCTCATAAAACTCAACACGACAACCTACTACAAAACGCTTTCATGGACACCGACATCATCTCAACTTGGCTATCAAGTTATGTGTGCAATGGCTTTCGACAGGTATTGAATTCATATAAAATCCAAACGATTGAATCTATTTTTGATCATCCAGTCAAAATGCACAATCAGCACAATATTGTTTCAAATTCTACGTTTCACAAAATGGTGTCTGTGCTTGTCCTGGTGACATTTGCACCACTACAACAACAACGTTAGTTGAATGAAATGATTAGTTCTAGACTACTTTGACTGATGTGTTTATTTCAGAACATCGACTAGTGCGACAACTTCTACTGCTACTACAAGCACGTCTGTAGAGATTTTTCCTTTTCACTCATCTTGAGTTTCATGATTTATAATCTTTAGAACGACGACAACTTCAAGTACCAGCACGTGAGTAAGACATTTATCTTTCTCACTAAAATGTTGATTATGCCTATTCAGTTCAACGACATCGTCCACTTCGACAACATCTACGTAAATAGAGATTGTTCAAGTTGTCTGATAATCTTTAAGAGTTTTTAAATTCATTTTAGGTCAACGACGACTACGTCAACATCCACAACGTCAGCTTGTTTTAGATTTTCAGAAACAAGTGAAATAGTTCTTTGTCTTTAGATCAACGACTTCAACAACTTCGACGACTTCGACAACAGCAACGACAACAAAGAAACGTATGCTTACATTGATCAGTATTGTTATTATGCATATGTAAGCCCATTTCACGTAGCGGATACGATCGATTGGCCAATAATCGGCAGCATCGTTGGTCTTACTCTTATTGGGGCATTAACTTTGTGCTCTTGTCTTTGTTGGCGATATTGTTGGTTAGTATAAAAATAATGCGCTCCATTCTTGTGCAATATTCTTCTTATTTCAGCCTTATGAGTGGTCGCAGTGGTGTAGTCGAACGAAAAGGAGTTTTTGAATTCTACTACATTGATAGATGTGTCGATCCAAGTTGTTCTTTGCGTCAACTTTCAAATTATGATGCTGTTCTCATTGCCAAAAGCCCTAATTGTCTTGCTCATAATGTGTTCAGTGAAATTACAAGTGACTCGAACAATGATCAACTAATACCATTAAGTCGACTACAAAGTCAAATATCACACTCTGGTCAAGACCGCAATGTATCGGCTATGAACAACTATGAAAGCAACGATTCATTAGAGATGTCGAGCAATTCTTCACAACGAAAACTGATCGCTCATGTATCAGTTTCAAAAATTCAAGCGGCAAAACGACTAATCAAGGCAGCAAATCCGAGTATTAAATCTCAGATTCGACTACCAGATGATGATTCAATGCGTTTCTCTCGATTCCAATCGAAAACAAATGATCATGTGAAAGTATTCAACATCAATTCAACCTCAACAAGACGACGACGTAGTTCATGCTCTTCATTACCATCGTGCCGTATCCCACAATCCCCAGAAAATATGAATTTAAGACGCAACAGTATCGAACCTGTTGGCCATGTTCGAGTGAATCGTGTGCAAACGACGCAATTGACAAAGAAAGATTCATTATTATCAAATCAACCTTGCCAGTCGATTATTGACACTACGATTCGATTGGATGATGTTGATCGAGGTGCAACATCAATGGATTCATCATCAGCAACTAGAGGACAGAATGTATTTATAAAACATGTGACATCAACTCGTCGACCAATCGCGAGAAAGAAACAACGGCCACCGCAAAACACCAACAATTTGTCATTACCTCATTCTATATCACAAAAATCGGCTATTCATGTTGAACACGTACCAGCAAGCAGGAAAAAGCTGGCATCCACTAGAAATACTGCTCATCTTGGATTAATTTCTGAAGGGACAGAGAAAAATCAAAATCCCACTATGAAAAACGTTCACTCAAGTGTTACTGTTGCAAGAATATTACGAGACAAGAAGCCTTTGCCAACAACACTTCTATAGATGAACTCATGCATCAACATTGTATTGTATTTTTTTAGTCTGCTTACACCTAATCCTACCAAAGAGACAATTATCCATAAAAGACCTAATTTCCAGCTCGTGTGATCGGAAAAAAGATGTTGCTTGTTGAGAGCGGGGATGTAAGTCAGAATTAAGAGAACATCTACATCTCACACTTACACTCTCATATACTCAAGTATATGTTTCGAAAAAAGGATTGGACAATAAATATTCTTTTGAATAGCTTGGTTTTTTCATCAAATGCGAAAAATACTGTTTACAAGCTGTGTTTTATTACATCAACTGAGCAAAATCCAAATGCTCTTCTTTCAATCGATGTATTTGAACATAGACTAGTGACATGACTGTAACCATTTAACTACGGATATCGTTGAAACGAGCAAACATATTGAATTGCATATTGTTTTAGAGAGATTCGATCTTATCGTAAAATGGAAGAAAATAAATATAAAAAAATTAGACCATGAAGGTGTGTAAATAAATGAATGTCGTAAGATTGGACCAAAGTCTCAGTTCATTCTTGGCTAAAAATAACCGTTTCACCTAATTTCTGTCCCATAGTTGCTTATTAAACGTTAATAATGTGTCCGTTTGCATTGTTCGAAATGTACTAACCACCTTTTTCTTTCGATTTTCAAAACAAGTATCAAAAGTTAAACATTTCATTATAATATACTACAGAGTGTGGGTTAAGGTAAGAAAAGATGAACGTACATCCTACACCCACACCCACAGCCTTTGTTTGCGATAATCTAATGTATCTCATTTAAGTAAAAAGTTTTATTATGGAGTAGTCAAAAAAAATGGAGATATATTACCCTTTCAAGTCTAACTGGTTAATACATCTGAGAAGATAGGAGAACATGAGTAGTTCGGATCGCACAAAAGGATTGACCCTTTTTTTCCATTCTGTGATGTTATAGTGAAAATGTTCCCCTTCTGTTATAAGACGAAACAAAGCGAATAATAAATACTCCTTTCTAGTACAGTAGTATTACAGCTGTCTGGAAAGCAGAAGATGCATTGTTCGATTTTTTGCAACTGGATATTATCCTTTTGTTCCATTCTATTGCCATTCCAACTCGCTGCTGTTTCGCAGATAACAAAGTAAAAGAAAAAGAGAAAAAGACGTAAAATGTGCATATCATCTAACCCCTATGTCAAATTCAATAAGAGTATTGGATTTTTTACTTACGCCATTTATTTATTGACTATTATTTAATAACGATTGAAGACTAGTTGTTAGCGAACGTGATTATTCTTTCTTTTTTCTTTCTCTTTCTGCAAGTAGATGATGATCGTTGAGATTCATTGCAAGTTATTCTAGATTATCACAGAGAATCAGTTTGAAGATGTGGATAATTGTAGTAGCTACCTTTACTTTAGTCTGTTCTGTTGGCTATAGCCAAATTCTTCTTTACAATACTGAAAACAATGAAGTCATTAAGGAATTCGATTGTGTGTACTACATCTCTGAAAATGTACAGGAAATTTTATATTGTCGACGTCCGAATGGAATTCAGAAACTTAATCGGAAGAGTACAGATTGTAAGAATGACGGTGAGAAAAATCTGTTTCGTGACCTGATTAATGAAGATATCAAATCAAGCAATGTTCTACAATGGAGTTCAAGCGTCGAGATGGCTGATATGCATGCCAGCATCTTCTACAATCAGTCGTAGGTTGAAGAAGATGATGATCGGTTTTTATGCAACTGCACAAAATCAGGAACATTTGGCAAATATTGTGAATATGAATTGACATACCAGGCAACATCATTTCATGAAGCGCTCGATGCTCTGCTTAAAGAAAAGAAAGAGAATGATCCATGGAACACTCAACGATATGGGAACATCGTCTGTTACGAAACACTATCTCGTTCCTCAAGTGATCTGTCTTGATTGCCAAGAAATTTGTAATAGTTATCAGCGATGTTCTAATGGTACAGATGAAGAAAACTGGGACATATGAGAATTCAATGAATGCGAGGATGATGAATTGCGGTGTAACAATGGCATGTGAATTCCAGAAGAATTCTGGCTTGATGGTAAGTAATTTCGAGTCTAGAGTCTTTTCATTATATTACACCGGCTGATAGGCGAACGGGATTGTATGGACTAGAGCGACGAAAAACATGGATAGTGAGAAACGTGCTCTTACATTTCAAACTCTATAGATTGTAATGAACATATACGTGTGCGTGATCATTATTCTTACGGTGACAGGCAATGTATTCAATGGTTTGACCGAATACCGTTTCAACGGGTCGCACCAAAAGTGAGAGACTGTTTTAATAAGCGCAATCGTAATTACATGTGTGAGCTGAGCTTGCATCGACCTACTTGGATACTTAAAAGTTGATTATGTTGGTGGGATAAAAACTGCAATGATCCTTGATATCCACCATGGAATATGATCATTTCAACAAACCTAACCATGCTTGAACAAAATCATTATCTGATTCGATGTATTTTCACAGACGATTTCGAGCGTGATTTCCCATGCCCTAGCAACGTAATTGTACGGAAATGATAGAAAGTCTGTGCCCATGGACATGCTTGATTATCTATCCACCACCAGGATTGATCAATCACAATACAATCATCTTATACAATTACTCAGTACTATCTACTAAAAATCCAAATGATTACATGTTCGAACTACCTGGTGACATGAAATGTAGAGGGTATCATATCATGGACGACGGTCATAAAGGCTTCAGGATTATATCGCCTTATTTGATTATTGCTCATCAGACAAATCAAATACTTTGCCATGATAACTACTACCGAGATGATTTTTTGCCTCTTCAGTATGATAACTTCTGTTGGAATGAATCTTTAACGTTCAACGGTCGGCCGTATGCTGTCGCTCCTGAAGTATGCAGTTTCGGAGCACAGTGTATCTCGCAATACCGAATTCATGACGAATTTTTAGACTGCCTTCGCTCTCAAGATGAATTTGGAGGCTTTGAGAAAGGTTATTGTACAGGAAACGTCGGACGACATCGGTTTCAATGTTTTAATGATGAACATAAATGTCTCTCGCTGCTATTCGTTGGTACACGAGCTAGTAATTGTTCGAACAACTATGACGAACTATAGTATGATGCTGTTAAGGTCTCTAAGAAAGTCGGTAGATGTGATAAAAAATAGATAATACCGGATGTAAGGATTGGAAACAATACATTAAACAGTCATCCATGAAAAATGCAAGTATTAACGATCTCTTTGAAAATTTTACAGAGCCAATGTCCACCACTCACATCTATTTTCCATGGTATTGTACTACTTTGTGGGACTTGAATGAGCACGCTGATGAATTACTTTCTGAATATAAACATTGGATATGTCCAAAATTTGAGTATCAATGTCAAACAGATCAGCGTATTTCACTCGATTGGGTGTGCGATGGAGTATGAGATTGTACAGGTGATTCGAATGAAGAAGCTATTTTCTTAATTAAAAAGTGATTATATCACAATGCTAAACTTCCTGATTTACCTATGTCAAAAATGGTATTCTCGATCACCATTGTCTAAAATATGCAATGTATCTTTTGAATTCGGTTGCTATCTATCTTAAGTATCAAATTCCTTAGACATCGCATCTAATCGTCTATGTATCAATTTCACTCAAATTGCTGATGGTGTGAAACATTGTTACAATGGCTACGATGAAAAAAGCACAGTCGAATTAAGTTCATCCATGCTAGGCTTTGATCTTCGCTGAGGAAGTAGACGTATAAAACATATAGAAGCCTGTATCAAACAAGTAAACATCAATTGTACCATGATTCTCTGCTCCAAGCGTCGAGATCAAGATGGATCATAATTCCATTTTCATGATTTTATTTGTCTTGGAGACAATATTTGCATGAAGAATGCAAGATGTGACGGAAAACCAGACTGTCCAAACGGAGAAGATGAATATTAGTGTCCTTCTAGTTCTGGGCTAAATCATTTTGGTTATCGTGGAGAGAAAAAGCATTGTATGCCTTTTTTGGATCTCAGCTATTCATCGTTTCCACCAGAATCTGCACGATTAAATAATCGTCAGAAAGAAAAGGATTCGATCGTCAACCCTCATATTAGTTACTTGTTCATTGAGCACTCCTATCAATGTAATCGAGGTGTAGTTATTCTTCAAATGAATGAAACTTGATGTTTGTGTCCATCAGTATATTATGATCCTCGGTGCGAATTCTTCAGTGATAGAATCAGCATCATTGTACGTGTTAATCAGACAACTTTGCCAGAGACATTGGTAAGCGTCACGTTGAAGATTAAGAGTAATTTTCTTTTCCACAATACGATCATTGACTTTCATGAATTCATTGCTTTTTCAGTGCATCAAAGTATCAAAAATGTGTAGCGTAATGCAAGAATGGTTACTATGGCAAAGATTGTATCATTTATGAATCCCGTTGTGAGACATCTTGCTCGGCTAGTTCCATGTGTCGACCCGACGATGGCAGTGTTCAAATAAACAATAGCAAACTCTATTGCATCTGTCCACCGAATCATTTCTGACCAAGGTGTATTTTAAAACATGACGCGTGCGATTCGAATTCTTGTGAAAACAAGGCGACTTTCTTTGTTCAAAATGATCGGAGTGGTGAAGCATCCTTGCTTTGTATTTGTTCCAAACGATTTTACGATAGACGATGTCAAAATAAAAAAGCATCTGTGCGTGTCAATTTTAATATAACAAGTATATTCTCCGTTCCTACGACTGTTGTTCAATTTTATGATATCGAGGAACAACCTAAGCTTCTTATCTGATACCAGCAAGTCTATCGTGGTTTGCCATCGACAATTCGCTATCATCATGATGATTTTTATGTACCATCCATTGGGCTTCTGAAGGTTTATACAGATTTAACGCATGCACAATATTTCATGATGTATTTTCGATGGCAAAGATTAATCAATAGTACCTCGTCTCAATACCAGTGCCAACATGCTTCGTCACTTCTAT